AATTTAATAGTATTATCTTATAGATTGATACAATTGACATGACAGCAGTGCCTGATGAGCCTTATAAATATATTATTCATATAAGAAATCACTTCTCAAGGTTTTCTTATGCCAAGCCTACACCATTCAAGTCAGCTGAGGATGCTGCTATGGTTTTATTTAATTTCTGCTTGATATATGGCCCTCCAGCAGTTTTTCATTCTGATAATGATGGTGAATTTATTGGAAAAACCATCAAAGAAGCATTAAGTCTTTGGCCATTAATTAAAACTGTTCATGGTCGGCCTAGAACCCACGGTGCCAGGGTCTTGTTGAAAAGAGAAATGATATTCTTGAAAATAAGCTAGGAGCATGGATGGAAGAGACACGTAGAAGTGACTGGAGTGTCGGTCTAAAGTTTGTACTCTGTAAGTATTTTGTATAATTAAATTAAATTAGTTAATTTGGTTCTTATATATTTTAATATTTTATTATTGTATTTAATTTATTTAAGGAGCTATAAATAATCAATACTGCAGGGCTTATAAAACTACACTGTATAATATTGTGTTTAGACAGCTTCCTCATAGTGATACAAACATATCTGCAATTTTAAACAATGATGATTATAAAAATGATATAGAAAATAATAATTATCAAGATTCATATGAAGAAAATAATGATCGTCAAAATTTATTTGAAGAAAATGATCAAAATTTACTTGAAGAAAATGATGATCATCAAAATTTATTTGAAGAAAATAATCAAGATTCACTTGAAGAAAATGATGATCATCAAAATTCATTTGAAGAATCACTTGAAGAAAATGATAATCATTAAAATTCATTTGAAGAAAATAATCAAGATTCATTTGAAAAAAAAGATAAGTGTCAAAGTTCATTTGCAGAAAATAATGATTATTACTATTTATCTAAAGAGAATAATAATTATTTCAAAAATAATAATTATTCAAATTTATTTAAATGTTATAATTTTTAAAAAATAATTACATTTGTGAGTTCTTAAATAATAAACTAACTTCATTATTTTTTAGCTAATGATGATTTTTCTGATAAAGAACCAATTAAATCAGAGTGTTCAACATTTGCGAATAACTTTAAGCTCAATAATACAAAGTCTGAAGTCATTGTAATTAGTGATTCTGAATCAGATATTACTATCTATAAAAAAGAAAAACAGTAAGCATATAAATATTCTATTGAACCACAAGAAAATGAAGTACTATATTTGTTATATTATATTAAAAGTTTTTTATATTAAAATTCTTTATAATATGTAAATTCAATTTGTAATTTTAATTTTTTTAAAGCAACGATCACCATTACAAGTTATTACGAAAATTCGACAAGTTGCAATTCTAAATATTAAGAAAAATCGAGAGCTTATCAGAAGCACTATGGAAATAAAACACAAAACTAAAAGAAATTGTGCATTCAAAATTGGTGAATTTGTAAAAATCTGCATTTCTAATATTGATAAGGTGAAGATAGATCAAAAATCATTACCCTGTAAAATTATTCAGAAGAAACTGAATCAAGATTCTTACCAGGTTGCTTGCCAATTTGGGATCCTTGAAAACTGGTATCCTGCCAGTGAACATCTGCCATTAGACACACCTGATTACTCTGATCTTGATATCATTCCACTTAATAATAAAATTTCATTGCAGCAAGCTGGTATCAAACAAAATATATGTTCAGTACAATCTTCAAGGCAAAGATCTGATTCAAATAATTCTATTATTATAAGGTAATTTTGTTTATCATCATTATTTGTTTATCTTTTTTTATTTCTTACTAAATGAGCTTTTATTTTTAGTGATAATTTAATGCATTCAACACCTAATGCTAAAAAAACTCATGACTGCTGCCATTGCAAAAAGACAAATTGCAATACCAAGGCTTGCACTTGTAGAAAAACAATATGCTATGTTCAAAACGGTGTGGGTGTGTTTTGTGTGACCAATGCAACAATCGATAAATAATTTCTTTCCAATAAAAAGATAAATTAGCTTTCTTTTATTATATTTATATATTTATTGTTTATAGTTAGCAGCTAGTATTGATCATTCATGTTTGTAAAAAGAAAGCATTTAACAATTTATACATATTGCATTTAGCTTTTAATATATGTTGTCTATTAGCAT